TTCTAATTATTTTGATCCAAATCAACCATCAATTAAAGTTTCCATAAAATTCTAAATATTCTAATTAGCCTATTGGGCTAGTCAATTTCTGTTCCTGAAGCCGTTTAGTCTCCCAATTTCTGACTCTAAGTTGTCGATTTAAATAGATATTCCATATATCAACAGATAATTATAGAATTAAACATGTAATCACACAATCAAGCACATAATCATGCAACTAAACTCATTTAAATTATATAATGTACTAGCTTGGAGGTCAGGGTCGTCACACCCGAGCTTCCAATGCTAGCAGACAAAAGAAAAGAAATATATATATTTTCAAAAAATAACTCATTGGAACTTAAATTTATTATTCTTATGAAATTTTATGCATAATTTTCTCATAAAATTATGTAGTGGAGGCAATTTTGTAATTAAATTTCATTTTGATGAGAATTTTGACCTTATTCCATGGCCTGGACCACAATTTACGTGAGTAATATTGATAAATTTGCAACCATTAATCATAGCAATGTAGTCATCATCTACAATTATTGCAATTTTTTTTGATAAAAGTCATGTAAGTAAATATTTAGTAAGCAACAAACATCAAATGAAGGAAAACTGCTAAAAAGACCAAATAAAAAGTTCTAGAAAAATAAAATACCAGTTCCAATGTTAGAATCGTGAATTTGAATACGGGTGGAATTGCTGATGTCAATGCCATCGATGTTAGGGCTAGTTTCAGGTGCAGTTATATTAATGTTTGAGATGGTGGCAACTTCGCAGTAGGTAATCGAAACATGGTTATTTGCGCTGGGGGTGCAACTTGGGCGGGCTTAACCCGAGCAACCCGAACCCAGCCTGAATTTTTTTAGGGCTTGGACAAGATATTTTTGAATTCGGTATGGGATTGGGCAAAAATTCAAAAGCCCAAATTAAATTTGGACGGGCTTGGGCAAAGACGTCAAACAACCCGAGCAACCCGAAGCCCGAATTATACATATATAGATATATAAAAAATATTAAATATACATATAAATTATTAGCCATTACATGATATTAAAGTAATTTAGATTATTAAATCATATTGAATATATATTATTATATATACGAATAACATAAAATCTTTTTATTATTATTTTTATTTTCACTCATAAATTGTAAGAACTACTATAGCGGCATCTCTTTTACATTATATAAATTATTTGTTTTGGTGGTATTAATGATTTCCTATATAAAAAAAAATGTAAATAGAGTCAAATTTTAAAAATATAATAATGTAGTTGAAAAAAAAAATTGAAATTCATTTACAATTCGGGCAACTCGGGCAATTCGGGTTTAACTCAGGTGGGGCTTGGGCAGGCAACCTTGGATTACAATTCGGGTCTGGTGTCATGTACCGACTCATTGGCGGTGCGAGTTCTACACCAAGCACCTTGCAAGCGCATTAGTTCGTGAGCAGCAAGGCAGACAGCGTAGATCTCTATCGCATCTCCTGGGTTGGTCCTTGGGCATAATGCACGAGGGTATGCAGTACCACTCGTGGTGCTGGCTTCTCGGGAGAATGACAAGCGCCCAATCCGTGACAAGTGGTATCAGAGCCAGCCTAGAGGCACTGTGATAGGGACGGTACGTGGGACTTACACCAAGCACCTTCATTGTGGCATCCGCACCAAGGGTGGCGTCCGCAAGAGGCGGGTTTCCCGAGGGTAGGGGAACAAACAAGCATGGAGGCAGGTAGGGTAATATCCCCCGGATGAGGGCGTCAGGGACTGGCGGTAGTAGCATGTCACGTACCGACTCATTGGGGGTACGAGTTCTTCACCAAACACCTTGCAAGCGCATTAGTTTCTGAGCGGTAAGGCAGGCAGGGTAAATCTCTATCGCATCTCCTAGGTTGGTCCTTGGGCATAATGCATAAGGGTATGCAGTACCACTTGTGGAGCCGGCTTCTCGGGAGGATGACAAGCACCCAGTCTATGACACTGGGCAGGTCTAAGCACAACTTGAGTTGGGCTTGGACAACCTCCCAACTCGACCGAACCCGCCCGAGTTGCACCCCTAATCTGCGTTGTCGACATGCCTCAATCCACTTAGCTGAAGGTTGTTACACCGATTGAACATCAAAGCCTGGCAATGAAAATTGTAATTGTTTGAGCTCAAACATCATTAATTTAAGAACAATAGGTGCTTCTAATGCATGCATATAACAATTTACTCTGATTTTTCAAGATACCCACCATGTAGTATTTTCTTAAACTCAAAGAGAATTTTTAAACTTGTTTAAAAAAATAAAAAATAAAAAAGGTTTAGGGTCAAAGACATAGATTTATTATTTAAAAAATAATAATTTTTTTTTATTTTTAGTTTTTTTATATTTTAATATGCATGTTTTGATGAGTATGAGCCAATAAAGAATATAAATTTCCAGAGAGTAAAAATAGAGATTTTTACTTACAGCAAGCCTCTTCTTGCAATTTGTTTCCTGAACATATGTAAGAAATTTTCAAATGAGTAATGATGTACAAACAAAAATTCTATATAAAAATTTATACAAGAATGATATGGTAAAATTAAATGTGAGATAATTATTGAAATATCAAGCATAATCCAAACAATTCTAAATGTTTTAGAACAAAGGAACAGGGATTTGAGACATATAGATAATATTGTGCCATGCATGAGTTTAATTAGGATTAGATGAGATTAATAAATAACACTCACAGGGATTTGAGACATATAGATAATATTGTGCCATGCATGAGTTTAATTAGGATTAGATGAGATTAATAAGTAACACTCTATTTGGATTGAGGGTTTGGTGGGAAAAGAAAAGATTCAAAGAGAATGAGATTTTTTATCATCCCTTGTTTGTATGATTAATAAGGTGAGTAATTACAAGAAAGAAAGAAAAATGGTGAGAAAAACAAATAACTCCAAACGTAAGTCTTATTTTTCACCAAAAGTTATAAGATTTATTGAAAAACTAAAATTACTCGTTACAAAAAAATTATAATACCTAAACTAACACTCTAAACATAGAGGAAATTAAAATTTAAAAAAAAAAAAAAAAACACATGTATCCTCCTCTTTTAATCATTGTCCATCCAAATAAAAAGTGAGAAATTACAATAATATATATATATATATATGTATATATATTTTTTATTTTCTAACAAGATGAAAAACTCCAATTATTATTATTATTATTATTTTATCACACACCAAACAGAACCCACCTTTGGACAGGAATCCCACCAAGATTTTCCAATGCCAACAATTTTTCCAGTTCCATTGGCAATAAACGCATCAACCTTTGAGAAAACAAGCCAAGTAAGAGAGTTAATATCACCAAAATTCATCATGTCTTGTGCTTTAATGTCACCCCAAACCTGTATTTCATCAATGAAAAAAAGAAAAGAAAATTGCATTATAGTCACAGTAGAATTGTTGGGTGTTTTCAAGTTATTAAAAAAAAAAGAATATTAATGCAAAAATAAATCACACAAACAAAATAAATGTGGGACTTATCATTTGTGAGTCTTATTCCCAAGAAAGAAAACCTTGTGTCCCTATCTGATTTCAGACCTATTAGCTTGATAAGCTCTATATACAAAATTCTTTCCAAGGTCCTTACAAAGAGGCTGAAGCTTGTCCTGCCTAACATTGTGAGTGAAGCTCAATCTACATTCCTTGGAGGCAGAAATATACTAGATGGAGTGCTTATTGCCAATGAGATTGTAGATTGGTGGAGAAAATCAAACAAGCAAGGGGTGATCATCAAGCTTGATTTTGAAAAAGCTTTTAATACAGTGAATTGAGAGTTTCTATTCGATTTGCTTGTAAAGTTTGGTTTTGGTTCCCAATGGTTGGGATAGATGAAATCTTGCCTATCAACTGCAAGTGTTTCCATTCTTGTTAATGGTTTACCTACAGATAAAATTCAATCGGAAAGAGGTCTTAGACAGGGCAATCTACTCTCTCCATTTCTCTTCAACATTGTAGTAGAGGGGTTGAATTTGTTGGGTTTAATTAGAGGGGTTGTTGTTGGACCTAATGGGTTGGAATTCACTCACCTACAATTTGCGGATGATACTATCCTATATAAGCTAGGTTAAGGTTAGGTTAGGATGTGTGTTAACTTGTATAAAAGCACTGCTATACTTACTAATTGTTGTATTGAATATTAAGATCGACATCTTCTACATTCTCTTTATGGTATCAGAGCCCTAGGCTCTTACGAGCATTAGAGGAGTTCATCAATGGCTTCTCCTTTCACCATTGTTGCAGCTTTATCTACTTTTTCTTTTGTCTCTACATCATTACCTTCAAATCTTACTCTGTTAATCTCGAATCTCAGTGCATTTGTCACTACAAAACTTGATTCATCCAATTACATAGTGTGGAAGAATCAACTTCAAAACATTTTGTGAGCAACAAAGCTTCTTGGTTATGTTGATGGATCTGAGGTATGTCCTTCATCAACCGTGCTTGATTCACACAATCTTGAAGTCTTGAATCTAGCTTACACTCTATGGAATACTATTGATGCACACCTCCTGAATTGTATCACTACTACACTATCTCCATTTATTTTCACATCTGTGATTCATTGTTAATCGAGCCATGAAGTCTGGATTACTCTGGCCAAAAGATTTACCTCACTTTCTAGGTCTCATATATATCAGTTAAAGACTAAATTGAGTAAAATTACTAAGAAATGAGTCACAATGGAAGAGTATCTGAATCGCACTACAATAAAAAGCACATTTGGCGACCATTTTTGGCGACCAAATTGGTTTTAGTTGCCAATGACGGCCATTTGGTGACCAAATTACAACTTTTCCCCAAAGGTGAAGAATTGGCGACCAATTGTAGTATTTGGTCACGAGGCGAAAGTAAGCGCGAGAAGAGGGAAAATTTATGGTGACTATTTTTTACCTTTGGTGACCAATATATTTGTCACTATAAATTTATCTTTGGCAACAAGCCAAAATTGGTCACCAAACCATTTTCTTACATAAAAGTTGTTGTCATTTTTGAAGCCAAACACCAACCGAACCTTTTCATTCGATTGTGAGAAAAAAGCCCTTAGACCTAAAGGCCCCTTTTCTCCCTTCTCTCTTAGCTCTATCACTCACCGTCGCTTACCTCTGTCGTATGCTGGTCCAGCCTCCAGCAACCATCCATACCAACACCAGGTATGTCTTTTCTCTTCTCTCACTCGCTGTCTCACTCTCTTATTGCTTTTCGTCTCTCTCTATCTCTCTCTCTCTCTCTCTCGGTGGAGCATAAAAGTTCTTCCCCCTCTCCCCTCTCACTTAATCTCTGTTTTTCCCTAAATAAACAGAAAGCGATGATTATAGTGTATAGATCATTGTTGCTTGAAACTCAAGCATGTATTATTGCCTTCAAGGTTATTGGTGAAGAATTGGAAACACCTTAATTGCTCTGAACTTGTCAATTATCAAGCATCGATCCCCGATAATCTCTACCCCCAATCACAAACCCCAATAAAAACAAGAACAGCCCTTGGTTTGAGTCACCAACAAGTTTCTCTCTCTACAAAGTGTGAAATGAAACCAAAACCAAAACCAAAACAAAGATCAATCAAACGAGTGTATTAAATCAAGAGAGAGAGAGGGCAAAAGACAGAGGAAGAGGTCAATTTATGACGATTCATTATGATTTGAACCTCTGTTTGCTATTGCCTAACCACCACCATTTATATATATATATATATATATATATATTTTTTTTTTTTTTTTTTTTTTTTTTTTTTTTTTTTTTTTTTTGTTTATTCTTGAGAATTTGTTTCTGTTTTATGTTACTGTGATGCTTACGTGCAAAATTGTTTAAAAACTCTACCAAATATAGCCATATTTTCTTTTGAAGTACTATTTATTAGATGCGTAATTTGTGTCAAAGCTTCCAAAATTTATTGTTGTGTTTGTTTACATTGTGTTTGGTTGAGAGATTTGGGAAGAAAAAAGCAAGGTCTGTAATTTTTTTATTACTATATAATTTCTATGATTTCTAACTCAAATACATTGTTATTCTTTGTGTTCCTTTGTTTGTTGGAATGGTGAAATTTGGATTTTGTAAAATTTTGTGAAAATTTTGAGTTACAGGACTGATCTTCTTGTTTTGCATAATATCTAGGAATGTCCCTCTTTTTTCATCTTTTCTTTTTATTTTTCTATATCAATTGTACATTTAATAAGACTTTCTTCCTCATAATATTTCCTAAAGGCATTTAATCAATGATGATGATTTTTTATTTTTATTTTGAATATGATGTCTTCATTTTGCAATATTGATATATTTTTCCTCATTGGCTCTTAAATCCTATGTAATTCATGAAGATATTCTTTTTAATTTTCATCCCACTTTGCCAAGTAAAACAGAGGCATCTCCAAAATGATAAAGCTGATAATTAAAACAAAATCACTTATTAAACTTACAAAAATGACTTTATCTAGGTAGTGCTATAGAAAAGAACAATCATTTATGCTATAAAAGAACTCAATTCATGATCAACACAGTTTTAATGTGATGCCTAATACCTACCATCATATAGCACATTCTTGTGTGTGCCCTAAGAATAAATGTCTATGTGACACACAATGAACATAGGTGTTTCCTACTTAGTTTCAATATAATATAAAAATAGGAATTTTGCTAGGGATTCTTTGAACTGACTATGTACACCCAAGAATATGTCCTCCTTTCTTAAGCATGCCTAATAAATATATATTGGATGGAAATTTTGTAAACATACATGTCCATATGTGTCTTGTCCAACATGGGTACCTTTGTTTATTTCCAAGATATGTGTATCTTGTAATGTATTACAAGCAGTGGTTTTTTATTTTTATATATAATGATGTAGTGCTACTGCATTTCTAAGAATAGGTATTGTTAATTATATGCAATGATTTTTCCTCTTTTTTCTTTAATGCTACAGGTTATAGAGAGATACATGCAGTCAATGTCAGGGAAATGATATTCATAATGATCAATGTCTCTTTCGATATGATTATTGGTGCCTATCTACTTGGTAACATGGCAGCATTGATTGTGAAAGGATAAAAAACAGAAAGGTTTACGGACAAAATGGCACATCTTATTAAATATATGAATACACAAACTTGGAAAGCCTTTTAAGTAATGAGATCAAAGAACATGTAAGGCTATAATATGAGAACAGCTACACAAAAGTTGTTGTTCTTCAGGATATTCCAACACAGAAGTTGTTGACACCTAAAAGTAAAAAATAAAATTTAAAAAATAGTATATGCTGATTTAGTGCTTTAAAATAGTTGACCAGTCTCTTGCATTTTGTTGGAAATGTGTACCTGCAGTTTGCTTCGTTACCCAAAAAAGAATCGTACGTTGTAGATTGTTTTGCCCTATTAACTGTTTCTTCTATGCAAATTGCACAAAAATTATATGAGCCATATGTTAAAGAGGTTCCACTTTTCAATGGGTACTCTTTGGGATTCATCAAACAGATTGTAAGTCATCTTGTTACTAGTAAACAGATGCTAAGATCATACCTGCATTGATTTTACAAAGTCATGCGACATTTATTGGCTTAATTATCTGTGCAAGGTAAATATTTACTGCTAAGGAGGTTAATGAATCTAGCAACTCCTGATCTTATACAACTTCCAACTTATTTAAGAGCATCAACTTACTAATGTCTAGCTATCTTCAGTGCATCTTTTATAGGATTTTTGGAGTAACCTGAATATTGTCTATTGCATTTCCATACTTGTTCTATCTTTCTATATTATCTATATTATTTTAATAATTACTGGTTTCTTGGTATTCCTTTTTAAAATGCCTCATCTGAAGAGCCATTTTTTTCGTTAATTTGTTGTTTTTGTTGTCTACTGTCATAATTTAATGTCATGTTCATTTCTACTGGAACATTACAAATCTCATAAGATTTGGAGCCTAATATCATATTAATTTATAGTAGTCGGCCTTACTCTTTTTTTTTTTCTTTTGATTTTCAGGCAACCAAAGTCCATGAGGAATTTTTCCTCCTAGGAGAAGTAATTATAGAGCAGGTAGATATACTGGATCAACTTTATCTTGTTTGTTTTGGGGAACTGGTATAATTTTTTTCTTACGGGCAACTTGCTCAAGCCTAAATAGACTTGTAGGAACAAACGCGACCTCAATTGGATTTCCGTTTAGAAAATTAGAAAGAAAATTGTAAAACACAAGACTTAAAAGGCTCGTTCAGGGGGGCAAAATTGCAAAATGACCACCGAAACCGCTGATACTTGGCACGAGCAACTTGCTCAAGCCTAAATAGACTTATAAGAACAAACGGGACCTCGATTAGATTTTCAGTTTGAAAATTAGAAGGAAAATTGTAAAACACAAGACTTAAAAGGCCCATTCGGAGGCCAAAATTGCGAAATGACCGCCAAAACCGCCAACACTTAGCACGATCAGCTTGCTCAAGCCTAAATGGACTTGTGGGAACAAACGGGACCTCGTTTGGATTTCTAGTTAGAAAATTAGAAGGAAAATTATAAAACGCAAGACTTAAAAGGCCTGTTCGGGGGGGGGCAAAATTGTGAAATGACCACCGAAACTGCCGAACCTTAACACAGGTAGTTTTCTCAAGACTAAATAAACTTGTATGAAATCAAAATTGGACTTCCCGAATGGACTTCCCGTTACAAAATTACAATCAAAATCGTGAAATTCATACCGAGTTTTTTTTTTTTCAATCTAATATTGTTTTTTCTTTTTCATGTGACAGATTGGCAACGGTGGAAAATAGTTCAGGCTGCATTAGAAGATTTGATTTTGTGTTTTTGGAAATATTTTGACATAGAATTTTGATAAATGACTTATGGGTTAGATGTTTAGTATCAAAATATTTGGTTTTGTGTTTTTGCAAATATTTTGACATAGAATTTTGGTAAATGACTTGTGGGTTAGATGTTTAGAATTTGGTTTTGTGTTTTTGAAAATATTTTGACATAGGATTTGGTAATGGATTTGTGGGTTTGATGTTAATAGTTTGTAAGTACTTTGGTATGAATATTTCAAATTGTTAGAGAATTGTAATTATGTTTATTAGGATGTTTAATAGCTATTAATTTTGAATTATTATGAATGTCTTGCATAAGTGTATTACTATTTACATTGCATTTGTGCATATATTTTGTAGAGAAAAACAGGTGTTTTGGATTATTTTTAACAAGAAAATAATAAAAATCAAAATTTGTGCAGTGAATTTTTAGTGACAGGTGATATTTTGGTCGTTGTTAATATATTTGGCGACAACATATTGTTTTTGTCGCTAAAAGTTAGTGGCTATTCCAAGAACTTTTTAGCAACCAAAACTTAGTCATCGCTAAAAAGTTGATTTTTAGCGACCAAATTAATTTTGTTGCTAAATAGTTCTTTCAGCGACAAATAAATTCGTCGCTAAAACTACATAGCCTATCCAAATCTTAACCTTTTAGCGACAAATTAGAATTTTACATCGTCGAAATATATGATTTTTAGAGACCAATTTTGCTTGTCGCTAAATGCTTACATACGGTGACAATTTATGATTTGGTTGCCAATACTTTTAGTGACAAGCCTTTGGCGACCAATTGAGTACTTGTCGTCGATTCTTTTGGCGACGAAATTTGTACTTTTGGCGACCAATTTTTTGGTCGCCAAATGTGCTTTTTGTTGTAGTGTCAATTCAAGGTGATAGTTGATTAGCTTGCTTTAGTATCTTCACTTGTTGATGATGATGATCTTATTCTTCTGATTTTAAATGGCTTGCCTGATGAATACAATGCCTTGAAGACTACTGTACATGCTAGATTAGATCCTATCTCCATGGATCAATTGTGCTCTCTACTTTGTTCTGAATCAATTCATGTAGAGGCTTCTCTTAAGCACATGCAAGCTGCTGAAGCTCCAGATCTTTTCGCTTACAACACACACTGAGGCAATTTTTCTAATAGAGAAGGCCATAAAGGCCATTATAGAGGCAAAGGTAATTTCAGAGGAAGAGATGGAGGTAGGTTTTGAGGAGTCAAGCTAATAAGTCTGGTTATTCTTAGAGAGGTAATAGCTTCTGCACTTTTCACAGAGGTAGACAAGGTGTAGACGTGCTCGAACGTCTCGGGCTCCGCGTGCGAAATGGCACGAAAATCCCGTTTTGTTCATTGGACTACTACTGTTCGGACTCAATGTCACGGTTCTGAATCTAATTTCGCAAAGTGCAATGCAAGACCAATAAATCACCAAACAGTCCAAATCTGGCAAATCGTTTTGAAAAATTGATTTTTGTAAAGAAGTGCCAAACATGGACTGCTTTGTCAGATACAGAGTCGCCACCTAAATATTTTGTTTTGGGGGAAATTTAGGAAATACTGACTCGTGCCTAAAGCCACGTGTCCGTCATCACCAAAGTTGCCTCAGCTCGAGAACTTGGGTACGAGAGGGGAAGGTCATGCAATGAGCACCCCCGCTCGCCCGATCAAAGATCGACCGCTACTAACATGATATTTTGTTTTTGAAAACACATGTGTTCTTATTCCGGTTATTAGCTAGAATTACTATGTGATGCGCACAGCATACAAGTATAGACTAGATCGCCTAAATTGGAACAAAACATTACATATTCGTTTGTTTGAAAATGGTTTGAAGTTTGCTACTCGCAAGTAGGCTAAATCGAGGATTTTAATGAATTATTCCAATTCAGATAATCCAACCTTCACCCACAAGCATTCAGGCAGTTATATCAACTAAGCTGTTAGCCTCATGGCAAGCATGCTTTCATGGCAATCAATAACACACATGTAGTATGCTAAAGTGTAAATACTTACAGTGTACTTCGAGTCAAAACAAGAGCTAGTTAGTAATCATGCATGATCCTAGTTCATGTTAAAATCGCTAATGCAACGTATATGAGAATGCAACTAGAAATAGGTCAGTTTTTCTAAAATGGCATGTGAAATGCAACAATTGATACATGTATTCAACTTGGTATTGAAATACAATACAGTTAGTACGATGCACCGAGCCCGGTGCATGCAAGACAAATGAATGGATGCATACATGCAAACATAAAGATGCTAATCGAAACATGCCCTAAAACTAACCATCGTAAGCGGTTAAGTAAAAGGGAGAAAGATGTGGGGTTGGAAGACATTCACACACACACGCACACTCATTACAAAATTCGCCCTCACGACGAAAGGTCCGAATGAATAATACAAACCGACTAATTAACTAACTAACAAGCTAATTAATTATTACATAACCGAATGAATAACTAGCTACAACTAATTATTACAAAACTTAATTAATTAACAAATTAATTAATTAATTACAAATTCGAATACTAACTAACAAGTAAGCATTAAAATATGTAAACAATATTGTTCCAGTGCTGGTTGAAGGAGAAGAGGATGCATGCTCAGTTGCCGTCCTGAAAAGCTCTCTGGTTGCTCTCAAGAGGCTCTGTCTGCAGGGTGTCCTTGAGAACTAGCTGCTGGATCTTACCAAAACAGTGCTGAGGAGTGCACTAGTGGCCTGCCGGCCATGAGGAGCTTCTGCCGACCCCCCTGCCGACCAAGAGCAGGTACTGCCAGCCAACAATAAGAGAGTGCCGACCACTGGTGTGCTGTGACACCAAGCTGCAGCAGAGCACAAAATAGAGAAAATTGAGGGTCTCCTAAGGATATGTATGCACTATGCCACTCCATATCACCTTAAAACATCAAGGGAGAGGCATAATCCGATCCAAGACCATCAATCACGCATCTCGATGCATGATGGCCAAAGATCCAACATGTGCAAATTTCAATGTAAAATGAAGGCACAAATAAACATATATGCCTAAAACTCTATCATGCGTTATCAAGAACGTCGGCGACCGAGAATCGAGGCACGTTTCATCACTTGAAGTATGAAACGTCCCTCGTTTCTTGTGCTCAGATTAATACTTAATCCGGCATAATCCGATCCAAGACCATCAATCACGTATCTCGATGCATGATGGCCAAAGATCCAACATGTGCAAATTTCAATGTAAAATGAAGGCACAAATAAACATATATGCCTAAAACTCTATCATGCGTTATCAAGAACGTCGGCGACTGAGAATCGAGGCACGTTTCATCACTTGAAGTATGAAACGTCCCTCGTTTCTCGCGCTCAGATTAATACTTAATCCAAACAACAATGCAACATAAGCATGGCAAACATGCAATATGACTTAAGCATGCAAACATACAACTACATGGCATACTCAATGCAATATGATATGATTAACTTAACAAAGCTAATGATATGTAAACAATGCTAATGCATGCATGCACAATGCAATGCTAAAAGGACAAATTAGCCATGTTAGGGGCATGCATACTCAATGCAAGGCAAAATAACTTGGCATACACAATGCAAATAACCACGTGGCATGCACAATGCAATGTAGGATGGCATACTACATGCAATGACCAATATGGCATACTCAATGGACTTAAACCAAAATGGTAGACCTCAGTCATGCCCCAAATCAGTTGCCATGACACAAAAGTGAAGGCACCAAAAGCATATATAAGCATGCACATGCAATGGCCCATCAAAGAGGCCTAAGAGCACAACTCTCAAGAGTGCTCAAAGAGTGACCAATGTGGAAGTGTAACAACACTAAGTGCACTGAAACAAAGTACTAAATGGTGCCAAACCATTCAATCAATCATAAGTATAGCATGCAAAGGTCCTAAAGCATGAAAGCTAATAAAGAGGACTGCAAAGGAGGCGTGCAATACATGGCAAGCATGCATGAACTAACCATGGACAGAGCTGAGATAGGTCAAGACAATGATCGAAACATGCTGAGATGAGGGCTTAAACACCTAGGCAAGCAAGCATACAAGCTAAGCCAAAAACTAGGCAACAATGCACAACACTCAAAGGCACTTAAAGCATGAATGAAGTGAGAACATGGCATTGTTATAAGCTCTGAAATGAAGTATTAAATGATGCCAAATCATCTAAATAGCTTAAAGATAGCATGCATGAGTCGACAAAGCACAAAGCTAGCAAGGCCAATTGCACTACAACTATACAAAGCATGAAGCATATGGCAACGACAACCCAAAACAGTCCTAGAACATGTCAAAATGAGTCTAAAACATGCATGAAAGGAAGTCAAAACAAGCTATCATGAAGGGCATAAGGCATGGTGCATAAAAGGCAAATAAGGTGGATTACACTACACCTATTAAGACCAAGCATGGGATGACTTAACCAACAAAAATTAGAGTTATATCATGGCAAAATAACCCCAAATAAAAACTAAAACGACGGCTCGCAAGCTAAGGCATGAAGGCATACACAATGGTTCATGTTAAGGCATAAAGGGGCCAACCGTCCAACACATTGAATGAGTGACAAATGTGAATACATGGACATGAAACATGAACTGAAATCACATTATGAATGATGCCAAATCATTAAAATAGTCCAAGTAATGCATACTAGAAGACTCAATACACAAAGCTAACAAGCTAGATTGAACCAAGGCTATACAAACCAAGTCATGCATGACCAAGATAACATAAATCAGACCTTAAACATGCTAAAACATGAACAAAGTCCTCTCAGAGCTAAGCCAAAAGCATGCTAAAATGGCTAGAATGACATGTTAAAGCACGATGCATGTTAGGCTAATTCATGGAAATGCACTACAAGTGCATGGAGCATGCAAGAGGTGACCAAACCAAACCCTAACAGAGGTATGACGTGGTAAACATCACCAAAAACATGCTGAAATGGAAAGAAAACAAGCTAGAATGACATGCTATTTCATGAAGCATACAATACTAGTTTGTGTGATTTACACTACAAGTGCATTAGGCATGCATGGAGTGACAAAACCAAGCAAAAATAGTGGCATGCCATAGCAAAATAACCACAAATACATCCTAAGATATGGCCAACATAAACTTAACAAACATGCTCACACATGAGGCATTCAAAACAAGTAAACAAGACACAAGGAGAGGGGATGACCCTCTCCTATTTAAGACTCCAAAACCACCTTTCCACCACTGAAAATCCTCTGGATTTCAATGGTAAAAAGGTCATGCAAAGGTTGCAACAAGAGCCTAAAGGGATGGCTCAAAACAAGGCCTAGCAAGGCCTAAGAGGGGGTAGATCACCCTAAACGAAAAAGTAACCTTAAACAAACTTTTTAAGCATGCAAAAATAGAACTTTTTCCAGTAAGAAGCTAAGCTTAAAACAGCATGAAAGAAGGGCTAAAAGCTTAAGCAAGAATGGGGGTTTTAAGGGATAGAAACTCACCCTTGAAGACCTTCTTCAAAACTGCAGCTCCAGCAAGCTTTTCAAGCTCAAATCAACCCAAGAACACCAAAAACAACTTCAAGAAGCCTCAGTAACACAAGCAAGGTGTTTGAGTGTGTGTTTGTCTGTTAAACTAAGACAAAGCTACACTTTTGAAGCACAAAACAAGAACAAAGAGAGATATAGATACAAAGCTATATCTATAACTCTCAGCCCATTTTTCTGAACCTCTAAAATAAAGGAGGAGCCTCTCCTTATATAGAAGAAAGGCAATGCAAAGCTTGTTAAAAAAGCTTGAAAAAGGCTTCATCCCTCCATACACGTGTATGGAGGAGGGATGAGTGAAAATCAGCTGGCTCAAAAGATCTGGAGTGAAATCTACTGAGACAAAGTGTTCTGCCGGCCATCAGTTGTGGCTGGCAGTACCTCATTGATGGCCGGCAAGCTTCATCAATAGCAGGCAGGGGCAAAAACATGGCCGACAGGGCCAAAAGGTGGTCGGCATTGCCTCACAAGAAGCAAGCAGAAAGGGCCAACACATGGTCCAAAAATGGGGCAGAAAGGATACAAGGTTTGAAAAGCTCAAACCTGTGACGTTCCGTTGCGAAGGTCGAGTACTCAACGAGCAATTGAACTTGTGGCTGGATGTACCTACAAGCACAACCAAGTCTTGAGGACGGTCAAAAATGGGATGTCTACACAAGGTTATAATAGCTATAGCTATGCTCCTGCCAGCAGTTCATCTACTTCCTCAGTGACTTGTCAAATCTATGGCAAGTCCAGTCATATTGCCCTAAACTGTTGGCATAGGATGGATACAGCTTTTCAGAATACAGGTTCTTATACCTCACCAAATTCAGGCAACTCTAAAGCCTATGTAGCATCTTCTCATTCCTTAACTTCTGAGGTCAATTGGTTTTTAGATTCTGGAGCTACTAATCATGTGACTAATGATCTTAATCATCTCTCCTTCTATCAACCTTATCAAGGACATGAGCAAGAAGCCATTGATGATGGATCCACTCTTCCTATTGCTCATACTGGTAAAGGTCTTCTTCCTAAACCTTCATTTCCCTTTCATCTTACCAACATGCTCCATGTTACTACTCTTCCAATTTACTTTCAATTCATCAATTGACTAAAGATAACTATTGTACTGTTACATTTGATGAGCATTCCTTTATCATTCAGGACAAGGCTACACGGTAGATTCTGTATAAAGGCTTTTATTCTCAAGGACTTTATCCACTCATTTCATCTTCTCCTGCTGTTGTGCTACCTTATTCTCCTACTGTTGTGTCACCTTTTTCACGCATCTACCTTTCTTGTTCTACTGCTGCCTCTCTTACAGTCACACCAAATTGGCATTTTTGACTTGGTCATCCTTTTTCCAAGAAGTTACATCTCATATTGACTCATTATCGTTATAGCGATTCCGGTTTTGGCCCATCACTTGTTGTGTTCCAAACTCGGGTTGTATAGTTCTGAATAGTGATTCATATCTTGTTTCCCTCGTCTCCTCTTTTATTTTGGTTATCGGGTTGTGGTTGTGTGTTTGGAACAAGTTGGTTGCGTGTTTTTCTAAACTTGTGATGCCCAGATTTTGGCTCTTCCACTCGAGCGGCCATTCTTGAGCTCAAGCGCTATTTGTCAACTCTCAATATTTTTGCAGACCTACAAATACTGGGAGAGTGTGTTTAATACTCGAGCAGCATTTCTTACACTCGAGCAGGTGGACACTCAAACGTCCAATCCTACGCTTGAGTAGGGTCCTTCGTTTGCAAAACTTCTGGAAATGTATATTCCACACTCATGTGTAACTTTTCACACTCGAGCAGAACTTTGTGTCTGACACTCGAGTGTCACTTTCCACGCTCGAGTGGACTGCGTGTATAACAATCCGTGAAATGATGTTTTTGTTCACTTTTTCACCTCTCTCTCTCTCTAAAACCCTTCAAAACCCTAGATCTTGAGTTTCTCTCTCTAAAATACTCTCTCTCTCTCTCTCTCTCTCTCTCTTTACATTTTGGCCTAGATCCTTTGATCTCTTCACCCTAGTGTCTTTGGAAAAAGAGTAGAGCATCTTGAAAGCTTCATTTTGATCCGATTGGAGTTTGGTTTCGGCACCTTTAAGGTTTCTATCTTGCTTTTCTTGGTCTTCTAACTTGAGGTAGGGATTTTTTCTACACTCTCATATGGTCTTTAGCTTAGTTATTTGTTATCATGTAACAATGGTGGGATTTGGGGATAATTTAAACAAACCTAGGGTTTAGGTGTGAATGAAAAAGAGGGGTTTTTGGCGAATGTGAAATAAATGAGTTTGGGGTTTGAATATGAGGTCATGTTATGTCAAAATGGTGGATTTTGGTACTCGGGTTGATATTTGGAAAAGGGGGGGTTTTTTTCCCTAATTGAATAAAATTGTTATTTTCTATAAATAATTGTAATTGACATTGAAAATGTGAAATTGGAGGATTATTGATATGAATGCTGAAATTGGATATGTATTATCTCATACCTTTGGAAGTTTTGAATAAACTATATGTCTTGAGATTTAATATTTGTTTAGAAATAACTGTATTGGGCTATCGGTGGAGGATAACTATGATTGTTGTAGAAATTGCATGAGGATTAGGCAAATTAAAACTAATCCATGGTTGGCTATCATTGTACATGATCATGTTGAAAATACATTGTATATGTATGACTATTTGGGAGGAGAAAGGGGATGTACTCCATGTGTGATTATGTTTTTTTTTAAATACATTGCATACGTATGATTGTTTGGAATGAGAAAGGGGATGGACTCCATTATAATTAAGTTGGCCGGAGTGTCCTATGTGAAAGTCCCGAAATTTATACGTGGGTGTCGATCCCGTAGACAAAATATCAGTAAAATGGCAGATTGTAGTGTTTATGTGTGTTTTATGTGCTTAGAAAACTATTGAGTTGTAGTCTCAGTTTGGTTGTTGAAAGATAATGGGTTTGACTCATGAATTGAGGAGTATAAAGGAACTAGAAATGAATTGAAGGAAAATGAATTAAGGTTTGAATTTGGTATCTGTAGACACCCCATTTTTGACCGTCCTTAAGACTTGGACGTCATCGTTTGAACACTCGATGATCATCCATATTTGTGTTCGTTTTGAATGCCCAAAGTTCTTGGCGGAGTGCCTTGCCTTTGAGCTTTTGAAACTTGTCTGTTTTGTGCTTGGTTGTGGACCAAGAGCTTGTAGCTTTGATTCTGGGGAAGAGGGTGACCTATCGGCTAACCCTATAACCCATCGGCCAGGGCTTGTTCCCATCGACCATCAGTGGTGGCCGGTTGGCCAAACTGATGGCCGGCCCTTTTTCTCATTTTTTAGATATTTTGTGTGCCAGCTGTGCCAACTGTTGGTCACTGAATGCATCCTCCATAGGAGGGATGGAAACAAGCTTTTAGCTTGTTTTCCTATATAAGGGGAGGTCTCTCCCCCATTTTGAGGGTTACAAAATTTGCGAGCAAATTGTCCCCCCTCTCTCTCTAGAACTCTCTCTCTCTATCTCTTTCTATTTTGGGCTTGAATGTGGGAATTCTCTACATATTTGCATACAACCTCTTAGCCAAATACATTCACCTTGGAGCTGAGGTTCTTGGAGGCTTTGTTTGAGCTTCTCAAAGTGGTTTGAGCTCAGAAATCAAAAGGTTTTTTGCGACGGTAAGTGGCCTTTTGCGACGGCAAGTGGGGGGTTGCAAAAGGGCTTTAGCGACGGTATAACACCATCGCCTTTGGTTTGCGACGACAAAGAAGCCTTTTTGCGACGGAAAAATGCCGTCGCCATTAACGCGTAAAAATCTGACTTTTTTTGAGACGGCACTGTTTTGCCGTCGCTAAAAGGGGTATTTTCGACGGCACAAGTACTATCGCTAAAGGGTTATTTGAGACAGCACTTGGTGCCGTTGCTAAAGTACTATTGGCGACGGCAAATTACACCGTCGCTAAAAGTCCTCATTTTCAACCAAATGCCCTATCTTTTGCGACAGCGTTACTGCCGTCGCAAAAAACCCCTATTTGAGACGGTGAATGGGCTGCCGTCTCAAAAAAAAAATATTAAAAATATGAAAATAACCTGTATTAAATGAAAAATAACTATAAAAAAAAAATCAACAATTACATAATAATATAAAAAGTCTAGTATATAAATAAAAATTCATCCATAATTAAAATATTCTTCCATTCATAACAATACATCAACAAAATTATCCCAATACATAATGTTACATAATACATACATAATGTTGTTCACAAATCTAAATAACGTAAATCAAAAACAAAAATTTTCGTCATGTTTCTTCCGTGGGTTACAAAAATAAAAGTTAGTCATAATCTTTACACGCCTGCATTCCATAAGAAACAAACTGCTACTCCGAAAATATCTGAAAATAACAAAATAAAAATAATTAATGACAATATAATTGTGTTAATATTTTAATTACAGAAAAATATAAAAAAATAAGTACTCTACCTTCAAATGCCAAGTAAAGCAACCATCATACCGTCAGTTCTATTAATGACACAAGTCTCTTCATAACTAACATTGGATGACATGTACTCTACCTTCAAATGCCAAGTAAAGCAACCATCATACCGTCAGTTCTATTAATGACACAAGTCTCTTCATAACTAACATTGGATGACATGTACTCTACCTTCAAATGCCAAGTAAAGCACCAGGGATTTATTCAATATGCACGTAATGTGGGCACATCGTTCAATAATGATAAACACGAGTAGGTGAATTTGTAAAAAAGTACAGGTGATTTTTGTCAAATTTATCAAATCCTGAATAAAAGAAAATGAGAACCAAATTTCCATAATGAATAAAAGTTTGATATGGCTAGCATTTATGGAAATCATCACTCCCATTGATAAAAAGAAAGCAGTTATGATGCCCCATCACATGTTCTAAATAGTGGAGGAGCATATACAAACAATATTTTAGAGCAAAAATATTGGTGTCTCACTCTGTAGTGGAAAGAGCTGACTGCAATACATCTTCAAGGTACTTCTCAGCAGCAGCATACTGCCTTTTCTTGTCCTCAATTGCTAATGCCGCCAAAGCTTTATCCTGCACAAATAGGAGTTTCCGTAAATCATTATTTCATTGGAAAAAAGAAAAAGAAACTCAAATGTATAAATTGAAATATGGAGTTACAGGTGGCAAGTCTTGGTAGCTTCTCAAAGTATCAAGGATGGGCTTTGTTTTCTTCTCCAATTCCTTCCTGTGCTCTGCCATTTCAACTAGCACGCCATGGCTAATCTCTAGGGTGTAGCCCACTCGATTGAGTATTGCCTGCTCCCAAGGATTCTTTGGTATAAGTAATCAACAAAATAATTTAGATAAACCTAAATGAAGATCAATTAAAATTACCAAAAACAAAGCTAAAATATCAACCGCTTGATTGCAAGTCTGATGTCTCATTCTACAAGTTGGTGTCAGCAACAAAAATCCAAAATAGTTAACCATTCTTGCTAATATAGTAACATGTTAGGTCGAAAACAAGATCCAAGATTCTGACCATTGTAGCTATAGAAGCATGAAATTTGATTACTCCAATTCTAGAATCTACCATATCATTCAAATTGTAAGAGCATCTTCCCTGTAAATAGGATCTTTCTTCATAATGTGTCACCATTTATCTTCAACCTGATTTTATCCTCAAAAAAACACTAAGTAATTGTTAAAGAAAGTGTATCTTAACTATTTAAATCCTTAGCATAACTTACCTACCAAAAAACCTTCAATATCGGGTAGCAAAACAAGCTACATAAAGCTAACTAGAAAACTGACCATGAGTGAGATAATAACTGTTTTCTGTGTAAAACAAATACAATGATAATTTATGGCATGACAACATTATGACCCAATGCCCACCATAAATAATTGGGACAACCAAATTCAAATAACGAGAAAGATCACCTTCACATTTCTCTTTATTTGTATAAGCAACAACATCAACACAAACAACATGAAAATTATTTTGTTCTTACCTTAGTTGCAGGCACAGTTGATGTGGTGGAACCTTCACTAGATGAGCCCTTATTCTGACATTGTTCAAGCACAAAATGAAAAATCAGTACCAAGCAAATAGTAAGTATTGTTACAACTCAAAAAATATGAGTTCAACTAACACAGAGAAATAAAACAAGACTAACGAGCAACACAAATAAACAAGGGCTAATGATGACTAGTGAGCATTCTGAACCAGGGGATCATATTTCTCTTTGAAAAAAATTGAATACCACGAATACAATAAAAAATAATGCAATTCTACAGATCAAAATGATATGGATCAGTCATGGCATCACTATTATCTCAAAACACAAGGGATTTCTTTTCAAAATGAAAGCAAATTAAATAAAATAACTACTTACCATTGGCAGGTCCAATTAATTTATAGCCCTAGAGCACAACCCATATTCACATGAGGATTGGTGATTGATGAGGTTAGATACATAGCTTTGTGAAATAATTCTAGCGCTAGCTACTTGAGAGAACTGAGTTGGTTAAGTTCAGGAAGAATAGATCACATTAATAATTACCCAAAGAGCACATTTCTTCTCTTAAAAGCCTCTTTCTAATACACACTTCCTCGAGCTTCATCATTTCACCACGTATAGGATCTAGTTGTTCATTCCATTAGCTACATGAACAACCACACATGGAATAATGTAGTATCTCCAAGAAGCAAAACTCAACTAGGCAATAGAAGCCTTGACAGATCATGAGGCTGACAGCCTTTTGCAATCTCTAAAACCAAAATTTCTGGAATTTCCTTTTAACAGGATTCTTTGGATCTCCTTCAATAGTAAAGACAGATTGACCAAAGCCAATCCCAAAATGGTATTGTCATCGCACTGATATCTAGGGGTGAAATCAGTTCGGTTCGGTCAGCTTTTGCATGTTTTTTGGATAGAACCGGTAGGGTCAGCTTTTTACACCGACCAAACCGAACAGACCGACACAAACAAGTGAACCGCACAGGACCGGCAAGTACCTTTTCGGTCTGGTTCAGTGCGGTTTACCGGTTTTGGCATTTGTTCCAAAATATATATATATGTAATGAATAATGAATATAACTTTTATTATTTATATCAATCTATCAGAAAATACATCTTGGACAACTATTAAAAACATAAAAGAATTTAAAATAAAATAAAATACACCATAGCAGTTTCATAGAAACAATGGAGAGCAGAGTAGATTAGTTACTATTTGGATTTATTAGTTTCTATCAAGAAGGTGAAATCTTTTGGTTGAAATTTTAATTTGTACAGAGTAGAAAAACAACTTAAGAAAACTCCATAGCAGTTCATAGGAACAATCCAGAATTAAACATACACAATATTGCACTTTAACCTTCTACGTGGAATGCAGAAAAGTAATCAGAACAAAACATCTCTGTTATTGGCTATTGATAAGGCAAAAAATAATATCACAATCCCAATTTTCACCCCCAAAGAGCAGTAAAATAAAACATAAATAAAAAAGAGAGTCAAAAATTTATTTATCATATTCTCAGATTAAGAAACCTTAGTCTATTAACTGATTTTGTAAAAAAAAAATAAAAAAATCACTTAGTTCGAATTACCTTAGATCATATGAGATGTTATTCAAGGAGACCAACGCCGAAGAGGAGATCGACACTGAAGAGCTGAGACGCCGGAGAGTGATTCACGCCACTGTCTTCTTTATGCCGGAGGCTGATTCACGCCGAAAGTGAGAGATTGAGGATCAATCGATTAAGAGAACACAAGGTCTTGAAATCGATTGTGATTGCGTGACAGATTGAGATCGAAATCAAGAGACAAAAGATGAAAGAAGATTGAGATAGAGAGATTGAAATGAGAGAGAGAGAGAGAGAGAGAGAGAGAGCATACTAACTGAGGTCGCGCGAGAGAGAGGGGTTGTACTACGCCGTCGTCGCTCGTCGACAGAGAGATCATCGTCGGTGAACAATCGAAATCTCTGTGATTGGGAACTCGAAATCTCTGTGATCGTCCGTGAACACGAACGCGAAATCGTCTCTGAGATTGGGAACTTGAAGTCTCTGTGATTGTGAGGGAGAATGTGTTAGGGATTTGGGGATGAAATTTTTGGGGTTTTGATCGACCGCCAATTTGGCGAAAGGAGGGAGTTGAAAATTCATTACCTTTTGCGACGGTATAGAATAACGGTCGCAACTGATAAAATCCAACTATTAAAACGACGTCGTTTTAATAAGGTTCTTTTGCGACAGCCAATTGCCGTCACAAATGCCCACTATTTGCGACGGTAATTTCCACCCGTCTCAAAAGAATTTTTTTTGGCAACGGCACACAATGCGTCGCAAATACTTCCGTGTTTAAGGCACTTTTTCTTGTCTGCTTATTAGCGACGGGGCAATTACCGTCGCAGATACATTTATTTGAGACGGCTTTGAATGCCGTCGCAAAAGTAGACTTTTTGCGACGGTATACACGCCGTCGCAAAAAATTCTGTGTTTTAAAGTCACTTTTCTTGTAGTGTACATTGCATACGTATGATTGTTTGGAAGGAGAAAGGGGATGGACTCCATTATAATTAAGTTGGCCGGAGTGTCCTATGTGAAAGTCCCGAAATTTATACGTGGGTGTCGATCCCGCAGACAAAATATCAGTAAAATGGCAGATTGTAGTGTCTATGTGTGTTTTATGTGCTTAGAAAACTATTGAGTTGTAGTCTCAGTTTGGTTGTTGAAAGATAATGGGTTTGACTCATGAATTGAGGAGTATAAAGGAACTGGAAATGAATTGAAGGAAAATGAATTAAGGTTTGAATTTGGTATCTGTAGACACCCCATTTTTGACCGTCCTTAAGACTTAGACGTCATCGTTTGAACACTCGATGATCATCCATGTTTGTGTTCGTTTTGAATGCCCAAAGTTCTTGGCGGAGTGCCTTGCCTTTGAGCTTTTGAAACTTGTCTGACCTATCGGCTAACCCTATAACCCATCGGTCAGGGCTTGTTCCCATCGACCATCACTGGTGGCCGGTTGGCCACCAATGATAGTCGGCCGCCATTTTTCTCATTTTTTAGATATTTTATGTGCCAGTTGTTGGTCACTGAATGCATCCTCTATACACGTGTATGGAGGGATGGGAACAAGCTTTTGGCTTGTTTTCCTATATAAGGGGAGGTCTCTCCTCCATTTTGAGGGTTACAAAATTTGTGAGCAAATTTTCCCCCCTCTCTCTCTCTAGAATCCTCTCTCTCTCTCTCTCTCCTTATTTTGTGCTTGAAAGTGATCTTTCTCCATGTATTTGCATACATCCCCTTAGCCAAACACCTTCACCTTAGAGCTGAGGTTCTTGGAGGCTTTGTTTGAGCTTCTCAAAGTGGTTTGAGCTCAGAAATTGTGCTGTTTGTTGCTGTGCTTCAAGGGTATTAAGCTTACCCCTTTAAAGCTTTGTTTTAGTTGTTTGTTTGGCCACCTTTGCATGCTATTTTAAGGCTGGTTTTAACATCTAAAAAACTCTATCTTTTAAGATTTAAAATGTTGGTTTGAGTCTTATTTGGTTAGGGGGTGGTTTCCTCCCTTTGCTCTTTGACTTGTAAAGCATTTTGAGCCATCTTTCAAAGCTTTTGAAATCCCCTTTTCTTGGCCTTTTAACCACTGAATTCCAGGGGAATATCAGTGGAAAAAACTTGGTTTTGAGGTCCAAAATAAGAGGGGGTGGCTCCCCTCCTTGTATCTTGTTTGCATATGTGGATGGCCTAAGATGTGAGCATGCTTTTCTAACCTTTTGTAGTTTAGTTCAAGCATTTTTTTGGCTTTGTTTTGACCTACTTCAACTCTATTTGTGGTTGGTTGGAACACTTCTTGTTTGCTTTTTGTACTTGTAGTGCAATCATGCTTACTAGCCTAACATGTTTGATGATTTAGCCTATCATGCTAGCTTGTGTTAGCTTAATTCCAGCACATTTTTGCTACTGATTTAGCATGCTTTGACTCTGTTTGAGTGGTCTTGGTCATATGAGTTTTGCCTTGCATGGCGATAGTGTAGTTAGCTTCACTAGCTTTGTGATTTAAGGCTTCTAACATGCTTTGCTTGGGTTGTTTGCATGCCATTGCATCATTTAGCATGTAATTTCAGTGCATCTATCACTATCACACTCTCACATATATCACTCTTTCATTGTTTCTAAGAGTTGTGCTTTGTGTCTTGCTTGTGAGCCAACATGCGCGCTTGATTTTCCTGCCTTTTGTGCCTAAATTTCAGCATGTTTTGGCTATTATTTTGGCATGTTTAAGCTCTGTCCAGAGTTGGTTTAGTCATTTAAGCTTAATATTGCATGCCTCTAGTGTAGTGCTCTTCACTAGCTTTAATGCTTTTGGCCTTTAGCATGTTGTGCATGTGTTGCTTGCGTGTTGCTTGCATGTTGTTGTATTATTTTTCATGCCATTTCAGCACTGAAAGTCTGCCACCTCCCTCATTTCTTCATTTTTCCATTTGTTTTGAGCACTGAAAGTCTGCCACCTCCCTCATTTCTTCATTTTTCCATTTGTTTTGAGGATTGGCTAAGCTTAAGGTTGTGTTCAAGCTTGAGATTAAGACTTATGCTCAATGGTTTTAGCCTTCTTTTGAGGGTTTCTACTAACCAAAGGCATAATCTCTCTCATGTCTTGAGTCATTCTTTGGTTGACCCCTCTCGCATTAGAGGACTTTCACATTAGACTTTGTGGGGGCCGAATAAGTTCTATTACGTACCTAGGTCGAATAGATTGAAAAGAGAAACCAAGTTGTGAATTACACGGCTCTATCCCGGAGGGATAAAGGCCGAATAACTAGATCAGCCGAATAGTCAGCTGTAGACCTGGCCGAGTACGAACAGTTAGTAGAATAAGGGATTGTTCATTGGAAGAAAAGTGGGCCCAACCGTCAACATCAAGGACGACTATAAATAAGGAGAGTGTCAGCTAACACGAGGTATGTCAGAACAAGTAAGTATAACTGAAGATATAAGCAACCAAGAGAGTGGATATTGACTTATCTGTCGAAGTGCTAATTCCGCCAACCCCGACCGGAGTGTTCATTCTTTTTTAGGTGACTAGCTAAGGATCACGAGTGCCTTCCAGGATCTGAAGAGTATTTCCGAACCACTTCTCCATAATTGGCGCCGTCTATGGGAATACTCCAGCATATACATGGCGGGCGTGACGGAAGATCCTCCGGTAATCGCTGACGACCTTACACCACGAGATGATACCACCCCAAGCAACATGCTTGGACCAGAGAATATTGTCGCACGAAGGGCCTTGAACTTCGACTCACCTTTGACTTCAGCGCACGAGACAATGCAAGCAATTATGGATCAAGCGAAGCAAAATGAACAGAGGTTGGAAAACATGATGGCTGAGAACGAGCGTCTTCGACAGGATTTGGCCCAGGAGGTGGCAAAATCCTAACAGGCTGTGCGCCAAGACCAAGGTCGACCTTTGAGAAAGGACGGTCGACGACCTCGAGTTCGGAGGCACGATAGTGGCAGTGATTCTGACTCATCATCCCCAGAACCTACAAAGAAGGAACGAGTTGTAGTCTCCAGCTCTTCTGAAGGAAGTCGGCGTGCACAAAATAAGCGCAGAAGAATTGATTCAAACGAAGAGGACCAACATGATCCCTTTGTGCGAGGGATTGCAAGGGCGGTACTACCCAAAAAGTTCAAAGCTCCATCGTTCACCCTATACAACGGGAAATCGGATCCCACTGATCACACCCGTCATTATAAGCAAGCCATAACGCTGCATGCAGATGACGAGGCCCTCATGTGCCGAAGATTTCTGAGTAGTTTGGGACCGTTGGCCGTCAGATGGTATTACAAATTGGAACCGGCATCGATTAAGACCTTCCACCAACTTCAAAAATCCTTCTGGGCAAAGTTCATCACCAATGAGGTCCAGCCAAAGCAAGCCGATTCTCTTTGGGCAATGCAAATCCAGCCAGGGGAAACCTTACGTGCGTATTCGGCACGATATTGGGAATGCTTTAATCTCGTCGATAATCCCTGCAATGACTCCATGGCCATCACCGCCTTTAAAATGGGATTGCATCCTGATAGTGCACTCCGCAGTTCCTTGACTAGGAGGCCCTCTAAAACAGCCTAGTCGTTAATGAAGAAAGTCAAGGAATACTGCAAAGTGGAAAATGACTCTTTGCGGGTCAAAGCCGGGCACAAGGCCAACAAGATGGCCCCATCTGAAATCGTTCAGCTGATAAATTTTGTACCACCACGGAGCCCTGAACCATGAAAGCGGACTAAACGAGACAAAAGACGAGATTCACATCGATCAAATGACCAATGTCATCGGGCTAATGAGCAACTTCAAGTGGATAGCAATCGCATAAGGCACGCAGACAAGAAATATACGGAGTTATCGGAGCCGATCAGCACGGTTATGTCTAAAATTCAACATCTGTTATTCTTCAAATGGCCACCCAAAATGGTGGGACCTCCCAACACGAGAAGACGAGATATGCGGTGCGAATATCACAAAAACCACGGTCATGATACCGACAGCTGTTATGCTTTGGAAGATCACCTTGAGGAGTTGGTACAAGATGGTCGGCTTAAGCAACACATCCGAAAGAATAACTCAACCAAAACGGTTGCTTTACGGCAGGATTCACCTCCGCTCGGCGTAATCCACATGATATACAGCTTGCCAACAACATCCGTCGTACATACAATTCAGTCGCGTCCTAATCTCCATAAGCAGATCACTCCAGTGAAACGACCCCATGAAGCTGCGAGTATCATCTTTGATGATTCAGATCTGGTCGGTGTAACATTCCCCTACATTGATCCCTTGGTCATCGCACTACGCGTAAATCAATTCACCGTTGAACGTGTTCTCATTGACCAGGGGACCACTTCAAAAGTTATGTACTACAAGACCTTCATCAAACTCGGCTTCACTAAGTCGGACCTGTCACCAACCCATTATCCGTTATTCGGCTTCAACGCTAATCTGTAGACACCCCATTTTTTACCGTCCTCAAGACTTGGATATGCTTGCAGGTGCATCCAATGACAAGTTTGATTGCTCGTCGAGTACTTGAATTTTGCGGCAGAACATCACAGGTTTGAGCTTTCCAAA